CACAAGTCAAATTGGATTATCTAAAATGATTTCAGAAATTATGTAATGATAAAATTACCCCGTCATATCTTCAAAGGCAACTATTTCATCTCCAAGTCACTCTGGTCTTTGATTATAGCTTCTATGAACGATGGATGATATGTTGTTTACTTCTCCAGATGGAGAACCAAGCAGTCAGTTTATCCACGAAATGAAAACAGTTGTTGACACTTGTTTAAAGTGCCGCAAATACTCGACGTCACTAGAACCCAGCAGGCACCTACTTTGTCAAAGGAAAAAATCAAAATGTTTTTGTAAAACACGAGTTTTTCTTTGCAGTTATGGTAAAATTTGTAAAACATTAAGACAAAAATGGTGTCATTTGCTTTAAGACTTTGTCTAGAAGTGTTAACCTGAGATTTCGTTCTTTGAATCCCATCATAGGTGCCTACTACATTGCAGATTTTGGTATCGACAGGTCTAGTACCAGCAAATTTTCTTTGCAATGGTTCAAAACAAAACCGTATTGCATGCAATTTTGGTACACTGTTCCTGACAAATCTAACTCATCAGTAAAAATCTGCGCTGAAAAAAACAATTCAACCAGCTGTCTTTGGAGTACTGTCGGTAGTTATACTGGCGAATGGACATATGGACAGGTTGAAATACCCTCAAATTTGAATGGGACGGTAGGTGTTTGACCCTTTTGAACTTAATGAATGGATATACGAACGCTTTTTTTCTTTAAACACTATTGTACAAAAAGATTATCTAACGTGATGTTAACTAAAAACATGCATAAATAAAATCTACAATCGCTGTCAAAATTGTAGGAACGTTTGGACATTTATCACGTTTCACACTACGAAAGAATAAATAAAAAATTCTTAACTCCCCTCCCCCTCTCAATGTTGCCTGTTCCTTAATTGCGAGTCGTCATGCATATAAAAGCCACTTCTTCATACATCATTAATACAGCAACATTGATTTTTAAGGGGGACCGGGGGATTATTGAAAATATAACAGGAGTGGGACCTATATTTAAGTCGTATATAAGACTTATATTTAATCTCGTATAGTCGTTCCAAGTAATTTTGGCAACGATTGTAGTTTAGGTACGGTAATACGAGCAGCAAAATCGTCCAAACTGTCTCATAACATTGCGAGTGGGAACTAAGAGATGCCGCGTGTATTACTCCCGCCGAGTTCAAAAGAAGACAGCTGTAGTGACATTCAGTTGTCCCTGCTAGGAAGCAAATGTTTCCTTTGCCTTCCGTCATTATGCATGAGGGACTATAACGTAATCGTCTCTCATACTATTCATAAGGGAGGGATGTCCATTTGTAAGCATCCCTCGGAAGACAAAAGAATCCGAGGTGATCATGGTATTAATAACTGATAAGACGCAGCTGCTTAAGGAAACTTTAAAAAGTAATAATACTCATTCAATTTCTCTTTAAGTATCCCCAAACTGAACATTGACTGTAGTAGTGTCCGTACATCACGGAGTCACTCCACGTAGCCTTGGGTACGCGTAGTTGTCTTTTTGGCCTGCTGTGCTTTCGTCTTTAGACATTTGGCGGGGTCTCCTTCGCTTTTTAACCAGAACTGAACTTTTTGTACTTTGAAACTTGCTGGCGCTCTTTCACCTAGTAATGAGCCAGGAAGATATCGAACGCTGAAAGTCGTGGATTATTCGAAATCGGCATGTGTATTATACAAAAAGGACGAATCTCACTTTAGTGTTAAATCGTTACCAGGCTCCCAAAGTCAAGTTTTCATTATGCACAGCGTGTATGGTACTTAATATGATTACATTGCACTAAATTTAGAGAAACCATTTTTCAAGAATCATCTTTCACATTAATAAAAATATTAATCAATGTGTTTATTTGTTTKCAATTATAGCTACAGATCGTTGGTAACGCCAAGAAAGATTTCTTGGGAATTGATGATCTAAACTTCGTTGAAAGTCAATGTTCACAAGTTATTATACAATGTAAGCGGTATGCTACTGGATTTTTTTCGATTCAGTTTTCTCATTCTTTTTTTTTAACACTTAGCCAATCCCTCGTGCTATTTTGATGGTGGCCATTCCTGTCAAATGAAATTCCCTAAGTCATGGGTGCTCGCACTGCACAAAGATCAACAAGGTACCAAACAGTTACTTCGGACATGATT